CAGCGGATTGGAAGTTGATCTGTCAGCACTATCCTTATCTTCAGATGTTTTTATTTTATTTGGTTTATAATTCCATACTAAGTGTAGTATTTCATTCTGTCTTTGATATGATTTAAATCAAGTTTCTCGTCATTATAATTCGCTTCGGATAGTGAAGAATGTGATCCAGAGGTTATTGAAAACGAAAACATTTCGATTGACAAATTAGTCGGTATTCTCAACACAGCAATTATAGGACTTGAACAGCGGAACTTTGTAACTAAACAAGAAATTATGTCTGTTAATAGAATTAAAGAGAAAGTATTATCACATGAAACGAAGCACTTACATGAAGGAAATGTTTAATAAAGTAAACAAATAAATATTAGCTTTTTCTTTCGTTTTCAGTTTTCAAATACCTCTCAGCAGTAAAACTACCGGCGATATTTCATCAACGTTATCGAAGATGAAAGACAAAATATGAAAACAAAATACTGTGCAATGTGCTATCTGCGTGATAAGTGGTAATGAAATATGACCTTCGACCTCACTCACTCGGTGTTGCCAAACCACTCTATAAGTAAACGAATCACGCTTTTTTTCCGTAATCCAGGTACTTGCTACTAAGGCTCCTAAAAATCGAGCTGACGCATCTACTACTTTTCCCCCTCCCGGCAGTTGTGCTAAGGCAGTGCGAAGGATACTTGGAATCTCGCGCTTTTTTTATATTTGATCATCGGCAGTTCACGACAGCGTGTTTTTCTTAATTTTAACAATTTTAACTGTGAACAACCAGCATATTATCCGCACTGGTGGATAGTCTGCAGCTTCAAAAATTCGCATTTTAAACACAGATAGCCCGCGGACTATACGTGCAAAATTACGGTAATAGTTTTTTTTTATTATAAAAATACGTAAAATACTTGAAATGTAAATGTTCAGAATTGGGTGAACATTTATTTAGCGAGAAGTAATAAACACATCCTCTACCCAGTTCTGAGAATATAAAATTCGCACAATGCCAGATGGCTTTTTTTCAGTTCTTGTGAGTTAGTTAAATATTATAAGCACTGTCCATATGGAAGAAAATTCTTGAAAAATATACTCAATATCAGGATTTACAAGAGAAGGACTAATTTGTGCAGCTTTTGCCTCTAGATAATTATAGCAATTGAAGGTAAATTTAAATCAGATTTATAAACACTGTGAATACTAAAACAGCCCTTTGGCAAAATACAAATGGACAGGAAAACTTAGAAATGATGTGCTTCCTTTTTAAATACAGGTTAAAAACTTTTAATTAAATTTTAAGGAAAATAGTAAAAGCTTACAGGAATTTGAGAATGAACCAAGTGGTAAATTTATCACTCAAAATTTCAAATCAGTATAAGTATTTCTATGATAGCATGCAAACAGTACTTTTAATATTATATGCCTAGTGTGCACCATCAAAGTAAAATATTATAATTTAAAATTAATTACTAAATGTTTAATAATCTATATATGCCAAATAAAAATCTATCCAATTATTCTGAAATATAACTAGATAGATTATTACCCCTTTGCTGAATATCATGATGGACATATGGAACATAAAACTGTAGGATATTAGATCATGATGCAGTAGGCAAATAATATAAATGTAGTAAAAATATATAGCCATAGTATGTACCCATGTTTTCCTCAAGGCTATACAGTAATGACATAAAATATCATTACAAAGAAAAAAATCATACAAGCTCAGAGCACAGAATAAATTTTTTTAGAGTTCGTACATATTTCTGCACATGGAAATAAAGTACTAAAAGTGTGGACTAGTAGTCATACACTACACAATTTAATTTTAATCTAAGCTGACTCAGTAACTCTATCATTGTAACAAACTCAAATATTGGCAGCGATTATGCAAAGATGAATAATTACAAATTATCAGAACTGGCAGGAACTAATTCAGCATGGAAGTGGAGACCAGAAACACACTCTGTCTTACAATCGAAAAACCTCAGTTTAATAACTATCAAACTGACTTACATTCTGGTAAGGAAACAGAAAGTGTAAGTTATAGTAAAGGCTGAAATTAAAAACAACTATTTAATTTACATAATAATAACTGTAAGTATCTTTGAAGAATAATTTTCTTTCTATTTATGTATTCAGTTCTTTCTTTAATACATTTCCTCTTCATTAAAAAATTTTTAGATGTAATTAAAGATTTCCATTATTCTAAAAAACTAAATATTTCTTAAAAAAATAACAAAAATAACTAATAAATAATAAATATATTCTATAAATAACTAGAAAAGTTAAATTTAGTTTTAGTTCTATAAATAACTAAATAGAAAAAAGCTACTATTTTTTTCCTTTAGTAATATGAACATTCAGAATAAATATGAAATGATACATGGTAAGGGCTGGTTTCAGAGATGGTAAGACATATTTTTAGAATTTAAAGACATATCGAGCTACAAAATCTAGAAATGGCAAAACTTTCAGAATTTAGGTCAGGCACTGGAAGCAGAATTAGGAGGCACTAGGCAGTGGAATTTAGGATCCATAGAGACTGCATCAGGTGGGAAAATGCCTAGCACCAGTCCTGCACATGATGCATTCAGACATACAAGATGAGTCTTTTAAATTGCAGATTTTCAATTTCTTTATTAACAGAAAAATTCCTTTATATAAATGCCTGTGCATGTGGTAAGATTAGAAGCTTTTTGATATTTTACATGCTTGTGTCTAGTGGTAAGTAGAAAAAAATAAAGGGAAGATGAACATAGTTAATAAAAAGATTTCTAGTGTCAGAAGTAAAACATTCAAATATTATGTTTTTATTGTTCTTCTAAGAATTCTCCAAAAATGTAAGAAATTCATCTCAAACTTTCTGTAAAATACATCCATTATGTGTTAATACCATAAAAACACCTTCCATTTTGTCATATTTTTCTGGAATCTTCTAAAAACCTGGGTCTATAAATGTTGCCTTCAAATCCTTTTAAACTTTCTAAGCTGCAATATCTAAAATCCTAAAGAAAAATTACCCCTACCAGTTCTGTAACAGCAAAAAGCCAGAAATACTTTTTTTGGGGGCGGGATGTTAAAAAAAAAAAAAAAAAAAAGTGTAAAATTAATTTTATAGAGAAAAACTTATGCATATTCTGAGACAATTATATGGAAAAACTCTATGAAAAAATTTCAAAGAAGACATTTTTAATTAATTATATAGCTGTTTAGCTTTTGCTAAGAATTGTTTTATAAATCATGCATTACAGCATTTATTATCTTGTTTATTTTTCTGATTCAGAATATTGCATAATAAGTCATCAAAATGGAAAGTAATGTCACTTTATAACATGATAGCAAAATATTACGTTTTATTTTAATGTTATTTCTTAAATATAATTTAAATATATTATCATTACTTTAATGAAATTTATCAATGTTATAATGTTTTAAAAAATTATTGAAAAATTCCCAGATCTCCGAATTAAAAATTTTCTACAAAAACTAATCTTAAAATCGCTAAAATGTTGATAAGTTACCAAATTTAAAACCATTTAATAAAAGAATTCACATCCCCAAAACCAAACATTATTTAAGAGCCCTTCATTAGAAAAAATGAAATAATATTGAAATACTTATGTTTCACTTCTTGCTCAGAAACTTGAGCATCCCACCATTTATATTAGAAATATGAATAAATTATAAACCATTCACCCATTCAAAAGATAACCATATTTGTAAGTGAATCGCCAAAAATATTCCTCCAAACTGTTATTTCACATTGAAAATGGCAGTCATAAAAACAGGCAGAAAATTCAGATGATTAAAATTAAGCACCTTCTTCCGATTTGGGCGGAATTAAGGACTTTTAAGGGGAAAAAAAAAAAAAAAAAAAAAAAAAAAAAAAAAAAAAACTAAGGACTTTTAAAGACTGTATGAATCCTATTTTTAGTGACTTATCTTTAGCAACCCTATATATATAAAAAATATTATTTTACAACCAACTCATAAATTTTTTAGGAGTTTGATCACATTGGTTTTGGTGAAAATGGATTTTACTCTTGCAAAATTTAAATTTTTTGCTCGATTAAATAAAAATGACAATCAAATTGCTGGACAGATTAAAGTCACATATAACTGTGTGTTAGTGAGCTAAAATCATAAAATAAATACATAAGAAAACAATTATAATTTTTGTTAAAATGTGAAGAACCCATCTACATTGCCAATGCACAAATAAATGGGAAAAAAATGGTAAGCAACAATTCATGTTGTTATTATTTTAAAAGCAGGAATGCTAAATCAGTTATTTATACATTATTTATTATATCATTTATTTATTAAATTTAAAATTGGACATCAAATATTTTCAAAGCATCTGCTGAAACAGTTTTTGGTGAAAGAATTACCAGATGCAAAACATAACTAATAAGCTCAAATTTCATATGCTATCCCAAGTATTAGATATCAACATATACTAATTTGCTCTCTTTCCCCCCCCCTAAATCTAGAATTATATTACAGATGTGAGTTAAATCATGGAAAAAAATATATATTTTCTTAACAAATTCCCATGGTGGTGACAAATAAATGAATAGTTACTTTAATAGAGTTGAAGGTATCACTTTTCATAGTGGAAATATAAACAGATATAATAAATTAATTTCCTGTTCAACATTATATACAGTACCAGTTCTTCCAGATTCAGAAATAAAAATAAGAATCACCTAGTATTCTAAAATTTAGAAGTCATTGTCAATGCTATGAAATTATTTCTAATGTCACATATTTTTAACAATACAAATGATTTCAAATAAAAAATAGAGGCATAGGGATCCTCATTTTGTAAGCTCAAAGATTCACTAAGCTAAGATATTGCTCAAAATCATTACAGATATTCCCAGTATTTGGGTCAAAAGTAAAAAGTTAACACATTTTGATAAAAAGAGAGCCATTTTAAATAAAGACTTATTAGATTTATGAAAAAGGGTTTTAAGATTTTATAAACTTCAGATGATACTTTCATGCAGTTTCTTACAGTAAGAGAATGAATCTATTTCACCTGTTTTTACAAGTAAGACATTTCAAAACTTTCTTTAGCTATAAAATAACTTTTAAACTATTATTCTACAATTCAGAACATAGCTTACTTGAAGAATGTTTGTTATTAATGTCTTTTGATCAGCTGGATCAAATATATTAGGTGGAATATCAGCTTCTTGTGGACGACATATCATTCTTAGTAAATGCTGTGACTAGGCAAAAAAGAGAAAAAAAAAAAGAAAAGAAAAAAATTTAATCACATAATATACAAAAAATAGAAAAATAAAAAAAAAATTACTCAGGGAAAACAATTTTGCAAAAGATTTTTTTCAAATTATGGTCTAGCATCTCGAAGAAATGTTAATTCTAAAAAATTTCAAAATGTAAAACATTCTCAATAAAAAAAGATTTTGCACTAATTACATAATATATGGCATTATAACTTTTTTTAATTATAGTAAAACTGCAAATGTCCATAAAGTTAATCAACTCAATTCATTATAAATTAAATGCATTTTAATTTATATCAACTAAATACATTAAAAAATAAGAATAATAAAGATTCGAATTCTTAAGAAGAGCATTTATTGCTTTTAAATTGCTCAATTTTGTTTATAAATAACAGACTAATAAAATTTGAAACGCAAATTAAAGATCTTATGCTTTGGCAAATGGCAGTACATTGAACCAGATGTTGTACAAGGGTAAGTGGAAGGACCATTTCTCCATGTAAGTTGGGGGTCTACTGTTTCGCACAGTGGTAACACAGTGCTTTTAAATGGTTTGATATATTAACCAATAACAAACTGATTAAATTAAAAGGTAAATTAAAAAGTTAAAAACCTTATGTTTTATCAAAAGGCAGCATTTTCAGAATCTGCTAAGCACAAAGGTTCATAAAAAATGAAATAAAGTTATTGTTATGAATACTGGATGTAAGCAAATAATTTTAGTGAAATTATATGTAACATTCTAGTACTCTTATATAATATAATATAAAATGCTATAAGAAAGATTTTTCCTTATTATTATGCTTTACAGGGAACAAGCTTTACAGCTTTACAAGCTTTACAGGGGCAATACTGCTATAACATATTTAATACTGAGGTAAATGGATATCTAGCTAAATTGGTGAGATGGTTTTGGTGACTAATTTTTACTGCCAACCTTGGAAACCATTTGAGTCTTGTCCTTGTACAACTGTAATCAGTACAATAATTGATCCCTTTATGTAACTGCAACTGTATCTGGCCCTGCTATACAACTTTAACCATGTATGGCTTTCAGTAATTTTGAGAAATAAGAAGGTACCAAAGATTTCCCAACAGACGCGGAAAGATTATCAGATATAAGATATGTATCAGTTTTCAGTTCAAAGCAGACTTTGGAGTATACAGAGATCTCCGCAAAAGCTTCACTTTTTAGATGTGCATTGTGTTGTATTTAATGTTCTTAGTAGTTTGAAGTGATAATTACTGATTGTGCTCTGTTATATTGAGAAGAGCTGAAAAGTTTAAGAACTGTTAAGTGTTTGTTTTGAAAAATAAATTCTATCAGTGGTTCTGTGAGCATTCAATATATTACAAATCTCTACACAAGCAACAATTTTTGGTGTAAGAAATGAGACTGAATGCCGGTGACAAGAGTGATGGATGAGCAACTAAGACAACTGGTGGCAGCCTTTGCTGCATTAAAAGAAAAGATGGAAGCGGTTAAAGAAGACAAAGCAGGTCAAGAAGAATACACAGACTATGGAAGGCAGAATACACAGGTTTGAAAATAAAGTTGGAGAAAGTGAAGAAACATCTGCTGTTAACAACAGACTGAAGAAAAAAAGTTTCTGCAGTCGAACAACAAATTGATGACAAAGTTTCTGCTGGCATCACCAAGGAAGTTGAAAACTTGAAGACATCCAAAATGACAGTCACAATTCTGAACTCTGCCCGAAAACCAGATAATAAACTTCAAAGCTCTATCTGGTTCACTATAAAGCTATGCTTGGCAAGAAGAATTTATATAAGCCTTAAGTTAAAATCTCACCAAGTGAAACCCACAAAACACTCCAGGAGCTTGCCATGGATGTTAAAAGGCTGCCTTATCTCACCTTTTTGGACTGCCAAACAAAAACAAGGGAAGTTCTGTCCCTGCTGTACTTCATTGATGATATCCAGGATTCTGAGATAGAGAAAGCCCTGAAAATGGCGAATGTGAAGCATCTAAAAAGTGCTTTAGGTGTAACTCATGAAATTCGACTCAATCAGAGCTGCTCATGTCCAAGATCTAATGGATCAAGTGACGGCTCATCTTGATTTAATCAAGCAAGTCAATGCCTTGACTCAGAACAGCAGTGGCAACAAACCGACTCTAATGTTGGAAATGTGCCATGTATGAAGGAACTGCATGCTGAAATGTGCCATGCTGAAGGCCATGTATGAAGGAACTGTAGAACATCCCAAAGTACGGAGGCAATGACCACTCACCAACAAGGCAAAAAAAAATTAATGGCCATCTCGTGGGGTCGAGGTTGCCAGATATGTAGAAGCCCCATTTTAAAGGACTTCAGATTTCTGCAGTAATAGACTCCTAATCATGAACATATAAATATAGTTCCTTGCAATATGACCATCAATACAGAAGCCAGTGTTACCATCATCTGAAAAGATATGGTTCACAGTTGAAAGGTAAACTCGTTTAGATGCCCTCCTATGTTATTCTTCAGATTGTGTCCGGGGATAAAATTGACATTGACGGAAAGTTAAACGTTATCATCATTTTCGAAGTACCACCTACCATCGCATGGCATATGTGGCAAATATTACAGATCCTGGCTCACTCAGATTAGACTTTCTCAGGAAATAAATTTTTCCTTGGACTTTAAAAACAACAAACTGCATTCTGCCTCTGAGGACATAATCTTGTTGGAATTAAAGATAGAGTTAAGCAAGAACAGAATTTTTTCTTCTAGATCCATACATAGCTGAAAAAGAAATTTTTGTTATGGTATAATGGAGTATCCTGAGAACTGTAACAGCCCAAAAAGAGTATGAGTGCTAATAGCCTTTGCACTCATCGACCTATCGAGGAGCGTCATCCTGGTGAGAATTGACAACTTAAGTAATAAAGGGAAAGTCATAGGAAAAGGTGAAGTGCTTGCAACATGTACTTCAGCAACCTGCATTAAACAAACCAGTAGATCTACAGATTCTGTATGCTGTTTATTGAAATTATTGTTTTAGTATTGTATTGAGTTTTTTTAGTTTTAAGTATAGCTTCCGGTCCAAGAACTGTATTGCCCTGGACGTGCAGTCCTAGGGAAGGGAGCAATGTTACGAATTTTGTATAATGTGACAAGAAAGGTTTGAAGAGAGTGAAGCTTTTTTGGAAAAACAAGGTTATAGGGGCAAGTCTATTTAACATTGAGATAAATGGCAAGAAATTGCCAAATGTGGGGACCAATTATTGTTATACAGAGACTGGATCTATTACTGTTATACAAAGACTGGACCAATTAGGTCTGGTCTCTGCATAACAGTAATTGACCTCTATATGTAACCATATATGCCTTCCAGTAATTTCAAGAAATGGAAGGTACTAGAGATTTCCTGGCAACTAGAGGAAAATTATATAAAACTGGAGAGTGGATCAGATCCCATTTTTTTCAGTTCAGAGTAGACTTCAGTGCATTGAGAGATCTCCATGAAAGCTTTGCTTTTTAAATGGACTTTGCACTGCACTGTGTTTAACATTCTTAGTAGTTTGAGGTGTTAACTACTGATTGAGCTCTGTTATACTAAGAGCTGTATGAATAATTTAATTTGGCAATATTCGTGAAGGGTTTTTCTAGATTACTTCTGTTCTCATTACTCATTTTTGCCAGGACAGGATTTTATAGATTTAAATATTACATAAAACAAACCTTTTCTGAGATGTAAAAAACTAAATATTATGATGCAATTATAAAAACAACATAGAAGTTGCATACTTTAAAACCAAAACATTTTTATTCAGCCAGTTCTTAAATGCAATCAATTTAGAACAACTGGCAGTAACTAAGACAATTGGTGTTAGTTAGGGGATGCACAGTAGAAATGTTTCATTCCTCAAAATAACATTAAAACACAGAACACTCTGAAAAAAATATGTAACTTTTTAATATGAAATATTTATTCACATAATATGCCTGATATATAAACTAAAAAAGGTGAAACTATAACGTATTTCTCCCTCCTTCTTAGAATGCCTTCATGGTGTAGTCTTATGATATCAGCCTTATGATTTAGTGGTCAGCATGCTCGACGTGAATTTGAGAGGTCTGTGGTTCAAGTCCCGGTGAGGGCATTGCTAATTTTTTACATCTCCTGCTTCAAAATAACCTAATGTCTCTACAGTGGTGTCCAAACTAAAAGTTGGTGAATCATGATTCTTCACCACCAGAATTTGGCGACTGGGTCCCCTAAAACCCCAATTGCCCTTTAAAAGGGGGAGTATATAAAATATTTCTCTCACCTTCTTAGCATGTCTTCATGGTGTAGTGGTCAGCACGCTCAACACGAATTCGAGAGGTCCATGGTTAGAGTCTCAGCGAGAGCATTGCTCATTCTTCACATATCCTGCTTCGAAATAATCAACTAAATACAGTCTCTACAAAACTAGACTGTGCTTATAAGTTGGTAATACTTCCCACAAACAAATCATGATGCACATTTGTTGATAACTTTTTGGTACTAGTTGATAATTAATTGGTGAAAAAAAAAAAGGCTCCGGTTCATAGATGTTATGCCAAGTGGACTGGCAAAACATTCTATTTTGAAAAGATGTAATTTATAACTAGAAGTAGAGGTTGGTCCACATTACTACAAAAAGTCTAAAAAATGATTACCTCACATCTTTACGATAGGTATTTTTTGTTCACATGCTAATTTCTTTATACTGACTGGAGTTAAAAGTAAATGCATTTAAGAGAGACTTAGCATCATAAAACTCATTTTGCACATCCCTTTTCCTATTTCCTTAGATTTCTGACATGTGCAAATAAAATCTATTAACTATATTCATCAGAGTTACATAGAGCAAGCAATGTAATGTATAATGGGTAAAATATCCTACTTTTGAAAAAAATGGAAAAATCTACCTGACAGATATTTATAGTTAACTCTGAATGAAGTAATTTCTTCACATCCCTCAAAATTCTTTTATGAATGTGGCTACTATTTGACCTTTTGATATATATATAACAAGCAGAAGCACTATGGCCAGGAGTGGTGCTATGGAAGTTTAATGCCCAACAACGGCAACGAAAAGATTGTGTAGTACCACAGAGGATGCTTTGCTATATCCAGTGGAATCCAAGAACATACAAGAAAAGACTGAATACCTTTTGTGTTTCTCTATTCCAGATCCTTAATCCCAATATATCTGTGGTCATGAAAACATGGTTATCTGAAGGATAAAATCTGATGTACTTTTCTAGTAAATCATTTGAAGATCTGATCCTAATAAGAGCCTGTTACTTTCTGATTATATTAACTTATTATCTCTATGTCAGAGAAGAAATGCTTTGCTTCACAGACTTTATACATTATTTTGGGAAAAAACTGTGTCTCTGGATAAATGACAGATTCAATCTTGAAGATGTGATGATCAGCAAGAAAGGGAAAAAATAAGAAATTAGAAAAATTGCATATTATTAAAATAACTCTAACACAATATAAGTAGGTTGCAAACTGTTCTACATAGATGATTTTATTCAGTTTTTCATGCAATGGAAGTTCGAATATTTATATAAATTTATAATAAGCACCAGAAAAGTACAGTTCCAGCACCAGAAAGTACAGTACCATGGGAAAAGTACACTTATTTGAAAGGATCCCAGTTCAGACTTTTCAAATTTTCAGTGAATCATATACCAGTGTGGTCTAACCTTTAGTTACCCGAGGGCCAATCAAACATTAGGATAGGAGAGTGAGGGCCAGAGGCATTAAAGAATGAAAATGAATTACATACAAATCAGTAGTTTAATATATCACTTTATTAAGCAGTCTAGAATTCAGTGTGATGATTGGCACTGCTTTTTTGATAGACATTTATAAATGCCCACTGTAATTTCAGTAAGTCTCAGGCTCGATTCCAGAAAAGCACTTTCAATGCAACTTCTCTTTTTTGATTTAATTTGTTTGAGAGCAGAAAAAGCACTTTCAGAGACATATGTACTGCCAAACAGCGATAACATTTGCAAAGAGAATTTATGCAGTTTGGGAAAATGTTCTTTAGAAATCAGTTTCCAGAAATGTTCAGTCTAATATTTTTTAGTCTGGTAGAATGGATCTGCCTGAAGATCACAAATTTCCATTTGAAGGTTGCAAGGCACACCTCACTTACTCCAATCTCTATGGGGTTGTTTAACAATGAAAGTTTTGTTTTAGGGAAGCAAAATCCTGAAATCTGTCCTGGAACTCTTTCTTGATACAAATAATTATTTAATGAAACTACTAAAATTTGTGACATTTTCTTCTTTCAGCTACTGACCAAATTTGGGAAGTGTGCCGTATTACTTGCCTTCAGTGCAATTTGCATTACATTAAGTTTTTTGCAAAAGCCTTCAATATGTCCATAAAGCTGGGATATAGTTTGTTTTCTGCTTTGCAGTTTCAGGTTTAAAGCATTTAGATGAGTTGTTAAATCTGTCAGAAAAGCAAGATTATTTAAAAACTGGATTTCTTCCAATTTTTCTTGATACTCATGCCCAATGTTTTCTTTTTTTAGGAAAGCAAGAATTTTATTCCTCAACCCAACAAACTGTTGCAGACAATTTCCAGCAGTTAGCAAGCGCACTTGACAGTACAATGAAATGTCACCATACTCAACATCCAAATTGTTCACAACTGCAATAAATGCTCTGTGTCTCTGGGTTTTGCCTCCTCTTATTAAAATTTGCAATATTTACAACTGTTTTCATTGTCCGAGCCTTATGATTTTTATTATTTAATTGATTTACTATTGAAAGAAAGATGTGCGACTTTTACCTGCCTTTCCAAAAAAATTGCAAGTTGTTCGTTTTCAAACAATCAGCTATCAGCTTGTTTGTAATGACAAACCAGTTTCCCCCTGTGTTAACCCCAAAGCGATTTATGGTGACTGGCTGTTGTGACAAAGCAGAAAAATTGTTCCAAACAGTTGTTCTTCCGAAACAAAACGACGTGTGATAGCAGCCTAAGAAGGGTCTTTTGTTTTTCCAAACGTTTAGCTAACATTTCCCCCCCCCCAGTAAGAAGGGCAAGTGCTAAAAAAATGTATAAGAGGGCCACATGTGGCCCGTGGGGTTGGACCATGCTGATATACACTATATCATACCAAAATAAAAGCAGATCAAAAGCTCTCATATAATTGAAATAACTGCAAGCTGAGGGTCATTTTATAAAACAAAACTGATTAAGAGCTGTAATGGTTTTGAAGGCATGTTAAATACTATTTTTAGATGCAACTGAGCTTTACTTCTGTAAATTAATCTCTCTCTTAATAAAGTGTTAACTTTTAAATTGAAGCTATAATAATATTTAATAATTTTATTTACTTATTATTCCTTTTAAATATAAAATTATGGAAGGCTTAATAGAAAGTTTTGTTATATGTTAAATAGCTGTATCAAGAAAAAAAAATCCCTTACATATAGTTTAATATATATATTCTTAACAATAAGAAAATTTTGCAATTACCTAAAACAATCTAACATAATGTAGAATAGGCCGATGTTTTGCATAAAATGAATGAAACTCTGAAAGGCCATCTAACTACTCACTTGCCCACAGTAAAGCAGACAGGGGCTAAATGCTGGAGAAAGAAATATCTATATGGAGAATTTTATCAGGAATACTTCCTCGTATTAATGCTACATATGGGAGGGCATATCCATGTAGCCAGCCCATTCATCAGAATTCCAATTTGGGTTGAAATATCATTGTTCAGTGGTCTTCACCATTTAGCTGTTTGGCATGCCATCTAACTGCTACTTAGACATCTAATGTTAAAGATGATGACAGTGCATCTTAAAATTACACATACAAACTTTGAGGCAAATTTTGAGACACCCTATATTGTATAAGAATAATAAGAATTACAACTTAGGAATTGTAATTCTACTGAGTATTTTCACTGGAAAACTAGCTCAATTCACACTGCACATGCAGAAAAATAAAAACTACATGCAGAAAATTCATTACCGCTAGGTTACTGACCCCAAACTGAACTACAAGTTTACATCAGTTGTATCTATTCAACTACTGAAGGGTTAGGAATAATAAAGTATTTGAGATGTTTTTCTTACATTTTATCAACTCACATTATTCTTTTTAAGAAATTAATAGTGCTTGAAAATTATCGCCAAAGTAAAAATAACATCATAAATATAATTTAAAAATTAAATAACATAAACTAGATTACCTGCTGGGGGGACAAAACCTGATCTAATAGAACTTCTTGAGAACATAGAGTTTCTGGATAACGTAAACATCGCTCATGAACCCATTCTTGACAGCAAATCTGTTTTAATACATGTTTGGCAAAATCATTTAATCCAGCTTTATCCATAGGTCCACCTGTACCAGAGTTGTTATTAGAAGCACTACTGTTAGCATTCTGATTTTGAGGACGTCCTAAGGATGGGCTGAAATATACAGACTGCATTTCAATTAAATGAACAAAAGCTATAACACGTTAAGAGAACTTTGAAAAATTCAAATGTTAAAAAAAAAGTTTTATAGACATTTTTAAAAAATGCAAAATGTTTTGACATATATTTAAAAAAATACAAAAACAGAACTTACGGTAGTCCAAGATCAAATTCACCATCATCCATAGATCCCAAAATATCAGATAGATTTATTTCTTTATTTTGATTTTCTTTAGACTTATCACTTGCAGGCACAGAATCACCTAAAAATATAATATAGTTATACTATATCAGTACACCAAACATATAAAATAACGACATGCATAATTAATACTATACAAATATTTAACTATTTCTTAACTTTCTTTGTGATTCTTCAGATTTTTGCAACAACGTTATATATTAGTTTGCAATTACATTTAAAGTTTAGAAATTGAATCACAAATTTTTGACTAATTAATTTCCACTTTATGAAATTCTAGTTTTAAACAAAGTACAGTCAAAAGTCGTTAATCCAGACTCGTCGGGACTTCGGCGATTCTGGATTATCGATTTTTCCGGATCATCAGTTTAAATCTCGTAAGATGATATGCAGAAATTCTAAAATTAAAAATATGAAACCGTAATTTATGAAATAAAGAACAATTATGATCTAAAGGGTATCAAAATTTACAAAAAAAAAAAAAAAAAAAAAAAAAAAAAAAAGCTTAATATTTATTTGCTTACTTTATTAAACATTTCTTTCAATGTAAGTTGTTTCATTTATGTGATAATTTTTTTCTCTTTAATTCTATAAACAGACATAATTTTTGTTGTCAGTTACGAAGTTCCGCTGTTCAAGTTCCATAATTGCTGTGCCGAGAATACCGACTAAAACTTGTCAATAGAAATTTTTTCGTTTTCACTAACCTCTCTGTCACCTTCTTCATGTCTTTATCCATTTTTTGCAGCAATTCCACTTTTTGTTTGACGGACAACGAAACATACTTTCATTTTGTAGATCCTTTGGGAGCTCCAGCAAGGGAAATTCTATTTGACATAATCCAAAGTCAAGTTTACTTTTATAAAATTGCTCTTACAGTCTGCAAAAAATAATAAGCCGCATCCAATGCGAAGATTAAGGAACAACGCAATCATTAACATTAACTGAAATAGATAATTAAATAATTTTAGCTTATATTGTCCATTATACATTAAACGTGCACGCGAAAACGTATTCTGCGCTTGCGCACACGCATATGCACAGTCATAACGGTCTTACGCGCACACGTAAACGCCTATGCGCAGTCGTAACGGTCTTACGCGCATGCGTAAACGCCTATGCGCATGTGTCAACGCGGCGCATGCGCAGAAAGTTTTTAGCTTTGGGGTCCGGATTATGGGTGTCCAAATTAATGACTTTTGACTGTATTAAAAAATATTCATGGAAAATCACAGCATACATTACACATGACATGGATGACTAAATCATTTTTCTATTAAACTGTAAAATAGTCTCAGTAATGAGCTATTTTATAAAGGCAATAAATATTTTCTTATGAGCTACTCTAAACTAGACTTAAGTGACTAAATACAAAATAGCGAACTAGTTATTAAAAAAAAAAATTACAGTATTATGCAAAAGGATATTTGTGTATACTGCTGAATGCTTGTTTGCAATTTTGTAAAAATGCTATATACTGTTTAACAGAAAATTACACAAATAATCATTTTATTTCATTTTCCTCTAGAATTTTGCTTGAGGGTAATTTTGTCATTATCTAAAGCTTAGATGATTTAGTAGTCTGATTTACTGTAAGCAAAAAATTTTATTTACATTATTTATTTGTACCCACTTTTATTTACGATTAAAAGAATTTAATTTTTTAACATTTTAATTTCATTTTGCTTTTGTGGTATAGAAGAAGTTTTTTAATGGGGAATTGAAAAACGCATGTAAGAATTTTGAAAATCTTCTTTGTTATTCAATATACCAATTTTTCGAAGCAATCCAAATGGCAAAATCATTAGAATCGTTTATTTAGCAGAGAAAAGGAATAAACACTTTCAAAAAAAAAAAAAAAAAAAAAAAAAATGACCAGATAGTGTGAAAGATTGCAGCATAAGTAAAATATTCCAAAAATGCTGAAGATAAGAAACTGTCATTTTTTAAATAAAAAATGGAAAAAACTTGATGAGAAAATTCACTTTTGATAATGTTATATACTTTCAATTAAACAAATTCCAAGACAAGGAAGAAAGTATCTATGAATAAATGTTACTCTTTTTCAAATAACTGAAAAGTTTAACCTACCTTTTTACTTACAGACAATGAAAAGGGATTACTGACAAGAGTTATGGAAAGGAAACTAATTTTAAGAATCAAACTTAAACAAGCCTTCAGAGTTTGCTATAAAATATAGAGAATACACAGTCAAGCACACGATAACAGGTTTCTCAAAGTTCCAACCCAACAGCACAGTTATATTTTAATAAAAATTTCAAATCTGAACTGATACTTTATGCAATTAAGACAATGATTACAGTAACTCTTCATTTGTTCCTTTTTCAAAACTGCCAATTCTTGTGTATAGTTACTATTTAACACAAACTTTTTATAATTTGATTGGAATACTTTTTTCTCTCAATTTTATTTTTTAACTTTTCCAATTTTTTCTGAATTTTTGAAAAATGTTTATATTTCCATTGGCTTTCCACCACCATTTATGTTTTCCCTGACTTTTCAGGTGAGTGGAAACATGGCAGAAGACCGAGAGCAGAGTGAAACTAATATTGCACAAAATGTCGATTCTTGTTCCATTCTGCATACATAACATAATATAGATAATGCTGCTGTTATTTAGATTTAGTGAATATATATATTCTAATTAATGATGCTATTTATTTTTCCACACAGTTACAAAAAAGTGGGAAAAATGAGTTTGTTTTAATATTTAACTACACATCAGACTAGTCAAAACACAGACGAACAAAAAAATTAAAATTTCTGAAATAATATTTGTCGGGTCCCTCATTTATTATAATCATATTTTTAAAAATTTGTTTATTTTTCAAAGTTATTATTTTTAATAAGAAATCCTCATTTAGAATTCCATATCAATTTTTAAAATTAAATCCACCTAATAAAGAAAAACACTGCACAATAAAAATTAAGATATTTTGCCAAAGCTGGCAGACACTGCTTGTTTTTAGTTAAAACTATTAGAGAAAAAATATCTACGTAATGTATATATGTTAAAATCCTTTGATGATAAAAATTCATACATGACCATTTTTTCTAACATAATCCACTATACTATCCTATTAAAACAATGTCTTTCTGAATCATCTATAAGGCTTCGCAGATTACCAATTCTGGCAATTAATTATGCCATTTCATACTGCAAAAAATATCCCCCTGCTCTAAAAATGTGCAACAAAAGCAAAACATGGAATAAAACGATTTAATGGATGTATCTGAAATTAATCCAAGATGTTAGACTACGTAACAAACAGTAAAGCAAAGACATACAAAAGCACATGTATTGTAACCATCACATTGCGAAAGACCAGATAGGTTGAAAGAATGTGCAATGGAAACTTCACGGTAATAATGGATATATCCTCTAGCTGAAATGCATGTTTGGCAATGGTGAGGCAAGATGGGAATAGTGTCATTCATTGTTTGTTGTGGCAGTAGTGCCCATTCCAGTAGTAATGCATGCTGGAGCTTGTGGAGGGTGCCTCACGGCACAATGTGACCTGCTACTCATCATCCCGACTTGTCCTCCACATGCTCTATGGGATTCAGATTTGGTCATCTAGCAGGCCATGGCAGATGTGGAATGGTTTCACACTCCATGTAACTCTGTACCACTAAAGCTCTATGTGGGCAGGTGTCGGCATCCATAAATACCTCAGCGATACCCATTGCAGGATGGGGAAAAAAAAAAAAATTTTGTCGCGATATTGGATGGCTCAGACAAATCCACCAGGAATCACACAGAGCTCAGTGTGGTCGTTCGTTGCTATCTGAACCCATATGAATAAGCATCCTCCTCTGTAATGGTCTCTTTTGACAATGTTTGGAAACTAATAGAGTGTCCCTGGATCTTGCCATATCAGTGCCCTTCGGGAATCATTCTAAATGTTAAATTGAAATGCATCCATAATGAATACGAGATCCCACTGCTCTAGTGCCCAAATCTGCTGTTTATGGGTACAATTCAACGGTGCTCTGACATGAAATAGGGACAAAGAAACACAAACCACAAATCATCAGATGTACAGTACCCCTTCATGCAGTCAACTCAATACTGTTTGGCGAGATATGGGCAGCAGAGAAACGCAATACCAGCTGTCATGTGCTGTTAGTGATTTATGCTGTCTATGATCTAAAGAGGAAGCAATCATCTGTCATAGTGGTATTCCTTCGCCATCCAAATCACATCTTTTACAAGGGTTTTGATCCCCTTGGTAATGATTCCACAGCCTACTGATGACACTACGATACATTTTTAGCTCTCTCGCATAACAAATTGCCTTGCACCAGCCTGTAACATCCCAATAGCCCTCCAACGCATTTCATTGTGCAAATGGTGTTTTCGGGTCATGTTTTCCGCTTTGGCTATCTCGGATTACATGGACCTATAGCTGCTTTCAAACTGAAGCATAGGTCTACATGTCCCTTTTAAAGGCCCTGTGGTGTGACTGTGGAATTACATTTTATGCTACCTTTGGTTGCCTATTGGCATTTGGTGATGCAACCTCTACCTCATATGTAAATTGTACATTTTAATTCCCCTTTTTACATTCATACCTTTTCTCTTAGCATTTGTTGCTTATCTTTTTGAGCATGAGTGTATTTATCATTCTAAATTATACAGTACAGTGCTTATAATACACTGACAGATTTAAAATCATCATATGTACATATTAATATTATTACTTCTTATATTATTATTAGCAAAACTAATACAGGATATCTTTAATGTCACATGTTAAGTATATCTGTTATGTAGCATAGTTGTTACAATAGTTTTTCGATAAATATCTATGTTTCTTCCACATAGTAAAATGATATATTAGAGCCTATTTCATATTGATACTCAGTCTGCAGTTTTATATCATGCAAATTATTTTATAACTTAATGAACTATTAAAAAATTTCATAACTTAATAAAATACACAAGAATAATTCAGTTTCTAAATAATGCAAAAACACACTTTACAAGTGAAACTTTTACCTAAAACCAATAACGCCTTTAGAACTGCTGAGATGGCTTCTACTCTCATTCCAGAGTGGATGGCAGAGAGTAAATGACGGTCACATGGATATTTTATACAATACATATGTCTCCTAGTGCTGCCAGATGCAGGAACACTTGGAGCATTACCAACATGATAGACACCTGGTGGTGAATATGCTTTCTTAAATAAACGGCGAAGTATATGACAAGTAAGCCTTGCCCCTGATTCAGCATCTGGATCTCCACCACCAGCTGAAACAGAAAAGGGGACCAACCAATTTAAAATATTACTAAAAGCATTAAATGAAATACCTTCCTTCCTTATAGGATACCTGATATTTTTAAAAATAACATATCCAGGCTTTAGAAGATTTTTATTTTGTAAAACTGCAAAGCTTCTTAATATGTAGAATTAAGCATAACTACACAATGAATATATCATCAAACACGATTTAATGTATCTAAACAAATTGCTGCTGACATAATTCTAAAAAGAAGGCTAATGATATTGTTACGGATTTTGCATATATGGAGTAATTTTAATGAAATTATATGCGAAACTGTAGTATTTTTTGTATAATTTAACATTAAATGCTTGAAAGAGAGGAAGCTCTATTGGAAAAATAAGATTCCAAGGGCAAATCTATTTAATATTGAGGAAAATGGCTATCTTGCTAACGTGTTGAGATGTGGTCAAACTGGTGATGATTTTGGTGACTAATTTTTGTTACTAAAATTGCTCAGAAATTGCCAAGAGTCTCCAAACTTGGCAACATTTGGTCGGTGTATAACTGTAATTGAATAATTGCAATTGATCTCTATATGTAACTGTAACCACATATCCAGCCTTCATAGATAACTAACTGTATATGCCTTCTAGTAATTTCAAAACGTGGAAGGTACTAGAGATTTCTCGGTAGTGGGGAGAAAACTATATAAGACCAGAGACAGCATCAGGTCTCAGTAATTAGTTCAGAGTTGACTTCGGAGAGTTGAGCTTTGCCTTATAGAAGTACTTTGCACTGCATTGCGGTTAGTGCTCTTAGAAGTTTAAGTCTCTGTGATACTGAGAAGAGCTACATGAATACTTTCGTGGAAAGTACCAAAACTGTAAAGTACTTCTTTTGGGAAAATAAATTTTATTAAGCTATCATTGGTTCTGTGTGCATTCAATCCATTAAAAACTCATCTGCACTCAACAATATAATTATAATACAATCCAAATTCTTAATCTTCTACAATAATGTTAAAAAAATTAAATACCAATGAAAACATTTTTGAAGTGTATTAAATTAAAAGCACAATACTTAAATGATACCTTTAAATGAGTAACAGCACAGTTTTTTACTTCCTGTTTATTAACAACAAACACAAAATAAAAAGCATCTTAAAATGCTATCTTTTTAACCTGCAATGAATTAAAAGTTAAATTATTTTGCAATGTCTAAAAATTAAATAGCAATAATAACTAGCATAATACTGTATAAAAAGCCATAATAAATATTTAAAAGGTAAATGGTAAAGGTGATATGTGGTCAAAACTTTCCTAGTCTATCTTATGTGATTCATTTCATAAAACTGAAGCATTAGACTATACCCAATCATTTAAGAGATGCTTAATCTTGTAATCTTTCTTAAACTTCCTTGCCAGAGAAAAACTAAATTAATGCAAAACAATTTTTCATTATGCATAATTTATACATATTATTTCATTTATTTTTCTTCACTTGATAGAAAATAAGGCTAAATAATGCAAATTCTTGAACTCTCTGATAAGAAATAAATATGAAGCCTTAAATTAAAAAATAATAATGAAAAAAATCTGAAAGGGCTCAGATTTTAAAGGTCACCCAAAAGGATTTAATAAGGTTTTTCTAAGCTCACGCTGAGCTCACAGTCTTCAAGTCTGCTGTTGTGCTCACTTCTGCTAACCCATTTCTTTTTAGCTTTACTATTAAACATAAGTTTCTTTGTACTTATGCCATGTACATTTTGGTGACAAAATTACAAAAATTTTAAAAGCAGCATGTGTTTAGAATTCCCAAAGTAGTAGTAAGTGTTGGGATACATTCTTCTATTTTCTTCAGTCTCTTCTCAGTCAGTTATCACATAAATATACAGTTTTTTTAGTAAGATCGTTTGCAAAACTTTTTTTTTTTTTTTTGTCTTTTAGTTATTAACATTTTGTGTGTTAAATTTATTAATTAAATATCATGCTATTTGCACTTAAGCCACATAAAATTCAGCTGAATAGTAAAATCACAAAATATTTAAAAGCAGCACATATCTTTAGAATTTCCAATAGAACAGTCTCGCGCGTTGAAAGCAACAATGTTTTAACCTTTTCGCAACGGTGCACCTTTGTTTAAGATGCTCGTGCAGGACAGAAGAGAATCGATGGCAGTCACCGTACAAGACGGAGGTTTTGCATCGCTAAGCCTAATTTTATAACAAAAATCAGAAAAACAAAAGTTTCGCTTCTAGCATTGTAATTTTTGGTATCCTTTTAGATTATTACTTGAACTCTTATATATGTTAAAATTAGCCCTTAAAAAATTTGTTACTTTATTTTACATGAAAATATACTTAAAAAATTGCTTATCTTCTAAAATAATTTTCGGAAGCGCTATTCAAATTATTCCAAAGTTTTAATTGATAAAATCCATTAATAAAGTTTAAAATTAATAAAAAGAACACAATAAAGACTATTTACAGTAAGTAAAAAAATTTAAATGGAAACGAGTGTGGTAAATCTCGAAGCACAGAGAAGTATCACATTGTAACTCTTAGAAAAAGTATCACTTTTTTACTCTTTAGAAAATGAATCAGTATTCTCATTTGCGTTAGTTAAATGGTTCTCTAACCATACAAGGGTATTCTTCCTCTAATAAATAGCGCCTTCCCGCCATAATAGACTGGAGGTGAGGCTTTTCTAAATAAAAAAAGAAGGAACGGAAATATATCTGAAGGCAATGCAAAACATAAAAAAAACTCCGCACAGCAACCCTAAAAGACCGTACATAGTAGAGGAAAAAACAGAATAAAAAAAAGGAATTGTATATAAATCAGATACGAGAATGTTTTCATTAGTATGCAGCGATTTAAAGAGCCCACCTCTGTTTACGCTTTCCCTCTGCCCCCCCACCCTCGAACAGCTGATGAGTAAAATACCAAAGCAAGCAGAATATATCAAACTCAAGGTCAGGAACCTAAAACTGTGTTCATTTCAAAAGTAATGGACACAGGATACCATCTAGTGGCCTTCAGAAAAACGTTCCACCTTAAAATGCGTATACGCATCACCTGTCCTCTGAATGCGATCTTTACTGATGCGTGGATGGGATGCATGGTTGTAAGAGACGTTCTTAGGGAATGCGTATATGGGACGCCCGTCCTGAAAGGGTTAATACATATAACGTTGCCACTGCTGCTTACCATTTCAAATCATTGATTTTGTTAAAAATTCATTAATGTTTCATAAAATTCAAGCTTCCAGGTGCACGTGTTCAGGTGGAGGATTACGTTATTCAAAACTTGATGGCCCTAGGGTACCGTTGTTTTCCATAGTACGAGAAACAGGCATACATTCATGCAGATTCTTCATTATTTAATATCTTTAAATGTAATACAGGGTGAAAATATTCCATGGCAACAACTTGAAAAATGATTCAGGCATTTAAAGTGAGACACTGCCAAATTCCGTTCAAGACTAACAACCTTTTGGGCTCATTTTATAAGTATTAACTAGACAATGTTAAAGAGACAGCATACAGCAATGTATATTTGAAGTTTTCTTAATATTTGATTTGTTAAACTAAACCTTAAAAAAAAAAAAAAAAAAAAAAAAAAAAATCTAATTATTAATACCATTCTGAGACTTTATCAAACTTCATTTATTTAAAATCACATTTGCATTACTTAGACCACTTAGAGTGTGCACCACTTAAGAGTCTCATATTATGAATATTTGGAAAAACTTCAGTTATGTAAAAATGATTGAAGAAATCGCATTAAAGTGATGATAAGATAATGAAGAGGTAATGTCAAATTATCAGAAATTATTAGTCTTATAAAAAGTTACAGCACACTGTTTCATTTCCAAAAAATGATAAATTTAACTGATTAAACATGCACAAAACCAAGTTATTTTTCTACGCATTTTGCTTAAAAATTTCGATACTTACTCGGACATGCAGCAAGAATAGATGGTATAGCAACATGAGCCACAAAATCCGGCAGTGGGAAACATCGACGTGCTACAAGAATTGATGTCAGGACTGCCAGATTATCATGAACTGACAAATCACAAACCTGTAACACGATTTTTAATGTTTAAATATGATCTGTATATAATTTTAATTAATTGTATATATATGTAATAATTTAAGTAATAACAATACTTTCTTTTAATATTATGGTTTCCCCTTTCATTCTAAAAATGGCAAGAGAGTTAAATTTCTGATTTTTACTTATTTCTTTAATATTTTATTACTATAACACTCAAAATTTAAAGTGAAAGCCTCTACTAAAAAATATTAAAAATATCTAATAAATAATAATAGCAATAAAGCAACATTATGTTCCCAGAAATTTTACCATTAGAAAACTATCACGGAAAGTAATTATTCATTTCTCCCCCTTCCTTCTAATTACATAAAAAATGACGCTGATTTAAAAGCTCAAAATTTCTGTGGTGGCTGCCCATTTTGCCCCTTGATACCCTGCCGTGTTTTCCACTTTTGTCACAGACTTATTTACTTTCATTTAACTTCATTTATATACCTGAAATAGATGTATAAAAGATAACCTATTAACTATAAATTGGTTATAAAAATAATTATATTTTTACAAAAATTTATTTTAAAACTGAATTAAAATTACTCCCAAACATAACAAATATATCATTATGCATACATATTGTGTTTGTCAACTATTTTATTAAAAAAAATTGAAGAATTACATAGAGAAAATGCAAGCCAGCATGATCTGTAACAATTGGTAAAATTCATCTCCATTTAGCATCAGTTTCAGTACAGAAGCTCAATATATTTAATATGCCAGCACATCTTAAGCTAGGCTCATTTTTATTCAAATTTAACATTAAACAGTACTCATTGTAAATGACAGTAATTTTATCCATTATATAAAATTAATGTAGCCTTAAAACACATTTTAACATAAATAAACTTATTCAATTATGTAAATTAAAAAGCAAAAATTAAGCAATTAAATTTCAAGCAAAAAAGAAAGAATGTGAAGTGATAAATCCAGTGTTCTTGAAATCACCCAAAATATGGTTTGTTTATATATAGTAAAAGCTCGACTATTTGGAATGCTTGGGATAAGCTTAATTCTGAGTATGTGAAATTTCCAGATAGTTGATTGTATACAAAGCACAGTTCATGGTAGAAATGCCATGTGAATGGGGGAGGGGAGAAATCTGCCCTAAAATTATAAAAACAGTCATCTTCTTTGATATCACCATCAGTATCAAAAACTTACATTTAAAATTATGAAAGATTCAAAAAATAAAGTATTTTGTACACAAAATCTGACGCATATCTTTGCCTTCAACATAAGAAATTAAAACATTTTATTCAATTACAAAATGCTATCAATCTCTAATTAGGCAAAGTGCCATGTACAAGCCTACAAGCATGTGCCACTATTGCTGCTTGCAAACTGATACACTGGTTCCCATGCCTCTTTTAAATGTGTTGTGCTGTGACTGTAGGATTGCGTTTTATGCTAATTTTGATTGCCAATTTGTATTTGGCAATGCAACCTCTACCTCATACGTAAACTTTATGTTTTAATTTTCTTATCACATTCATACCTTTTCTTTTAGCATTTGTTGCTTATTTATTTAGCACAAGTGTATTTACCTTTCTAAATTGCATCAGACCAGTGTTTATAATGCATTGATAAATTTAAAAATATCATATGTACTTATTAATAATATTATTACTTCTCATATTATTACTGGCAAAATTAATAAAGGATATCTTTAATGTCACATGTTAAGTATAACTGTTATGTATCTATTATCATCATGCTGAGTCACTAACTCTCATTTGTAAGCTAACTCTATAAGTCCAGAAACTGCATTATAGGTTACCTCATCTAACAACAACAGTGAGTCATTATCAAAGGTAAATAATTAAATTTATTTACCTTTGATAATGACTCACTGTTATGAATAACTGCTTCATACTGCCTCCAAAATTTCTGCCAGTTATTTGAATCACTAAAAAATTTGTTTATTGTTAAGTTTCGAAAACTTAACAGTATTTGCTGCACAAATAGCGGTTGATTCGTTAATCTCATTACTAATCGAACTCATACTAGAATCTGAATTTCCTGAAAGCTCTTTTAATTGTTTAGAAGCTCTGCATTTCCATATTATTATTTTATCTTAATAATCCTGTGAGGCTTCAATTTTTAACTTTTTTTCATTCCATTTTAACTTAATAGTTTTTCAGTAGCACTATCCAACTGATTGAGTAAATTTCGTTACGCTATTAATTGTTCAAGAAATTCATCTAAAGATTCGGAAATTGAGAGGATCTTGAATAGCATTTAAAATTTTTTTAAACATTTATGTTGTTAGAGAAGGTACAGCAGTTCTTTTCTTGTTAAGATATATTATTTCACTCAATATTATTAACAAGCAGATCAAAGAATTCAAATAAAATGCAACTTACATTTGATGAACTAAAACAAGAAGTTAAGTACTTATCTAAATAAATTGAAGTAAACAATATCCACATATAGCCAATTTCGACTGATTTGTAGTGAACTAACATAAATCTGGAAGACAAAGTAAGCATCAAATCGAAGAATTGAAAGTATAATTTTGTGCCTAGCAACCAAATGGACAATAATGGCACAGTATGTCTAACGAAGTTCTACGATGAGTTTAAATGCCACATCTAAATTTCCACATGCGCGTTAGTGCCATTCTTTCTTATCTTAAATCAGCATTCAATCTAGTTTAAAAGGAAATTTATTAGAAAACCAAAACAAATTAATCTAATCTAGAATCTGATTAGCAGCATTCAAGCTGCATCTAAACATCGAAAGGAAAGTTATTGGCATTGCCATTTGGCATTGTCTAAATCAATACACTTCTACTGATAAAATTATCTTAGTTTCATAAAATTTTATTTTATTAATAATTCTCAAAAACTGATTCTAACTTCTAAATGCATGTCTAGCTTTCTCTGTGAAACAAACCTTACACATAGGCTGAGACTCTTAAGAAAAGAAAAGTCCCCACCCATGTTAAAACCTTATTTTCCAGGAAGTGCAATACAATTATTAGAGTTTGTTGGAGAATGGTACAATTTTTATTTCCAAATGTACTTGAAATGATCCTGCTACTGCAGCTTTTGATTCAGTATAGGCGGTTTTAATTATTCAAGATTTACATTAGAAAGAGAAAAGGTGAACTGTTGCTTATATGTTCTTAAATGTGTTACCAGTTACAACAGAAAATAGTAAAATATTACAATAAATGACTCAAATACAGTGACTTGCCATGGAAAAAGAACATCTGCAGATTTTTTGGAATAACGTAACTTTACATGGAGGATGAAAATGATCATTTATACACAACATTGCATTTGTAATCAGCTTACACATCAACCCTCGGATACAGAGGCATTTTTTTCTTCATGATATTTTCTTGATTACTAGAATTACATCAACAGAGGATTGTGATCAGTAAGTGCCAGAATCTGTTTTATATTCCATCCTATACTGTTCCATTAAAATATTCTTCCACATTCACGTACTATTTCTGGCATATCCTCCTTCCTGTTAATGACATTTTAATTGTTTTACCTTTTCCCATTCATGTACTATAAAAAGAATGAACCATTTGTTTCTATCGTCTCTTGAAATAGAACATTATACTATACAATGGTGAAATAAATTAAGAGAATTTTCATATTTGATCTACGATCTCCAGACTTGCTGGGCAGATTTTAATGAAATTTGGTGTGAACATAGGTTGATATAATACAAACAAAATAAATATTCAACAGTTGTAACAGACACACATGTTCGTGTGTAACACTCATGGGAATCTGAAGGTCTGAAACAATGATTGCAAAAGACAAAATAAATTGGTTAATAGGGGGTATGGTTCCCTCTTACAGCCATACAGGCCTCGCAGCATGATGTCATACTGAAAATAAGGCAGTTTATCAGTGTCTGTGGCAACTGGTCCCACTCATTCAGCAATGCTGTCTTCAGTTCCTGGATGGTTCTTGGAGGGGGTTACAAGTTGCAATTGCCCTCTCCAGAGCATCCCAGACATGTCCTATACAGTTGAGGTCTGGATACCTGGTTGGTCAATCCATTTGGCGAATATCCTCACTCTCGAGAAATTCGTCAACCAGAAGAGCTCTATGTGGCCTCATGTTATACTCCTGCAAGATGAACTCGGGGACCCACTGCATCCTGGAAAAGGCAAACATAGGGCTCCAAGACCTTATCCCTATACCTCACACCAGTCACAGAGCCTCTGTCAAAGACAGATGTGATGGAGATGTGTGCAGCTATCAAACTTGATGCCTGCCCAGACCATTACACTGCCACCACCATAATTGTTGATTTCGTAGACATTGGAAGGTAGGTAGGGGGTCCCTGGCTCTCTCCATATGAAAGTATGCCGAGAATTGGTGTTTAAGCTAAAACAGGACTCACTGGTGAACAGAACGGTCGCCCATTGCTCCGTACTTCAATCACTATGCTGCCTGCACCATGCTAATCGGACTCTCCTGTCCATAGACGCGAGTGGGACGCAAACAGCCGGTCTTCTGGAAAAACACCCTTTCTCATTCAGTCTTTTCGAAACAGTCATCCTTGTTACACGGGTTCCTGTGGCTGCATAGAAGTCCCGAGAGAGCTGAGAAGCTGTAGCCCCTCTGTTACACCTTGCTAAAAAATAGACAAATAGTGATCCTTGCCCAGGCTTTCGCTTGATGGATTCAGTATCCTGGAGCTGTTTCCATAGGTTACACACGAAGCTAGGTGTTAAATTAAACTCTCTGCAACTGGCCTGCCTCTAGCCTCCCCACAATTCGCCACTCATTCCATCATCTAAACATTGGTGGTTACTCATTTTTACTGTTCCAAAGTGAATTTAACTAATTGCTGCAACATATCAACATAACACCCAAGAAATTCGCTGAAGTGTGCTAGCGAATGCAATTCCTCTTACCCTCCATGCGTTTATAAAGCCTGTTTTTCTGTTTGCCATACAAGATTTGCATTTTTATCTAGAAGCAGTGGTTTTGCCTTTCAGTTCAGTTCTTTTCATGCAATTCAATAAAATATGCAAATTCTCTTAATTTATTTCACTAGTGTAAAATTAGGGCTTTCATTCAGCTACAGTGCAGCTCTGCTTTTTTGGGGGGCGGGGTGAAATTAATTTTAATTTATTATAGTTTTGTTTATCTCTCTACATTTTATTGAATTTTAATTATTTTAATTGTTAATAATTTAATTTTTTAGCTATTTTATTCCTTTTTCCTGAAGGCCTTCAACAGAGTGCCAGCACTTTTAATTTTAGAAATTAAAAGTGTAACCCAGTCTTGATTGTGATGAGCTTTCCGTAAAACGACAATATACGGAAATTCATTGTGTTTTTCTCATTGTAACTTCAACATTAAAAATTAAGCTGTTCTCTACACAAAATATGATACATGATATTGTGATGTATAAAGTCTTTGTTTAAGAAGCCCTAACACAAAATTGCCGTAGAGGACAAAATGATATTACAAATTACTCACAAAATTTAGAAGCCATAAACTTTTACAACATTTAAACCATTAAATGTTTATAAACTGAAATACTGAATTCAGAATATAGAAATTAAATTTTACATCAACTTGAGTGAGCACATCTATGAATCCACAGCTGTGGTTTGAAGACCAGCATAATGATTTCAGTACACCAAGCCATTCTGCACTCAAGGGACAACACTTTGCAGTAAGTTCAGCACATAGAACAGCTATTTCATTTAACCTAGAGAATTTATACATGTATAAATACTTGCTACACATATTTATATATACACACATGTAAGATAAAAATATGAAAGCAAACTACTAATTTTAATTTTGCAATAGCCCCTTTATTCTTCATTTTAATAAGAGTATTTCCCCTCTCTCTTAACCCTTTGCGGCATGATGGGTCAATATATGTCCCACCTAATTAATATTTATTTTCTCAGTTAGCAATTTCCGTTAGAAGTTTTCTAATCTTTTAAAAATAATCTATTTTAGTTATTATTTTTCTCAGTAGATGTTACTACTATACCAGGGCTTAAGTTTATAAGCAAAAAATATTCAAAATAGGATCACAAGAGTGATATCCGTGTATCTCGCATTTTTCAATATTTTAAAAATTTTGGTATACAATTTATGATATGTATGATTCTTTTTAATATTCAAAGGTATTTTATTTTCAAAAATCTTAATTGCGTTCAATATTTTATAATATTAATTTTGCAGTTGAAATAAGTGGGTTAAAATTTGTCCCACCACACACTTGAATTTCCGCTCAATAGATGGCAGCACTCACGATTATCTTTTCTTTTCTTTTTTGCATCTACTTTTTTCGTGATTGCTCGCACTTTTACATCCGTTGTATGATCTGATGTGCTAAAATGTCTAGAAAAAAATTAACAACTCAGGAAGCTTTGGATCTTTTTGCTGAATTGCCATCCGATTGAGACTCTGCTTCAGATGTCAGTTCTGATTCAGATGAAATTGAAATCCAGGATAGAATAACTGAGGTTGAAGTTATTGCTGAAGAAGAAAGGGAAGTAGTTATAATTTGTTTCGCTTTTTAAAGACACAGACCCATCTATGCATGTGGCACTGTAAATATGGATCGGAAGTATCTACCCAAAAATTTAAAAGACAAATTTATGTCAAGAGAATATATAGACTTTTCAGTTAGCGATGATTCAATTTATTGCATAAAATGGAAGGATAAAAGACCCATTTCTATCCTGTTTTGCTCGGAAAAGGCAACTGAAATGAAAGAAATTAATAGAAAAGAACGAGATGGAAAGACAAACAATAACAAAAAAAAAAAAAAAAAAAAAAAAAAAAAAGGGTACTGTGCCCAAACAGCATTATTTCATACAATAAGAATATGGAATATGTCGACTGATTGATCAACTGAAAGGACTATATGAAATAGACCGCAAAAGCAAGAAAATGATGGCACATGGATTTTTTTTTCCTTTTTACATGCGAGTATAGTAAACACATTTATTCTATTTAAGTTTGTTCGCGAACCCGATCATGATTGTAAAAATAAATGAAAGATTTTAGTCTCTCAGTTACAGAAGGTCTAATGGCACTTTGCAGGCAAGAAAGAGCTGAAAAAAAAACTGAAATCCCCAGTTCAAATGAAAAACTAAAAAACCCGTTCGTACAACCAGAAAAGAGACTAAAAAATGTAAGTTAAACACTGTCAAAGAGAACGGAGCAGCAGAAAATGTGCATATTGCAGCACATCGAAAGAAGAACGACCGAACATTTTGGATGTGTGAAACATGTGAAGTGCCTCCATACTTACAAAAGAATGAAACAACATTTTTTCAAAGTTTTATGAAAAATGACTTTTTTCAATTTTTAATCATTTATAAATGTTTTTGAATCAAGTGCCAATTTTAATATTTTATTTAGTATCATATGTACGAGTATCAAATTTTAATCTTAAAACAATATTCAAGAAAATATTTTCTTTTGTTCCTAAAATTTAAAAATATTAAATATATACTATATGCAAAAATGCGCATATGCAAAAATTTTACAAGTCATGCATATATGCAATAAGTACAAAATGCATTTTAGTGTGTTTATTATGAATATTTTAGAATGCATGCTTATTTTGTTTATTCATTCCACATATGATTTTTTCCCTGCTATACACAATATGCTATAAGACATGTGCTAGTTGCATGGTGGGACAAATGGTATCCCACCTTCCACCGTAAAAAATAAAAGCGCAGAATTTTTTTCAGGCCTTAAAGGCACTTAAGTAAGTCCATCTGACTTATTCTAAGGCATTTTTTTTTTTTTTTTTTTTTTTTTTTTAAGATTAAAATATATTTTAAATATGCGTGTCGCAAAGGGTTAACAGTAATAACTTTTTCTCAACTGCATCATTTCTAGATTAATCCATATCTCATGAGTTTTACATAATGATTACAATGCAGCTAATTCAGAATTTAACCTTTTCCCGTGGGCTATAGAGGCCAATTTCAAATCAATTTTGGCCATTTAGTCACTTATTTTAACTGAAAGGAACAGAAAAACAAATAGACAGGGTCTTGCACTTCCTAATCCATATTAAGGAGTAAATTTTAAATCTCCTTACTTTACTGAAATTTCTTGAGACGCATTTAAATTAGAGAACGTGCGGGACATATGTGTCCCAGCCCCCTGGAAGAGGTTAAACTAAAACCTTTCCCTTACACTAAGGTACCATACGGAATTGCTATGCACTTTGCTTCTACTACTGTTGCCACTAAGATTGCTTTCTTCTTATAGCAACAGTATCAAAAATGTAAATATTCTGGAAATATGCACGATTAGAGTGCCAATTATCTGTGGTCACAAATGTCCACTGAAATTAAAAATGAATATTTAATTTGCCTTGACTGTCAAATTTGCTATTCATTATGAATCAACGAGTACATCATCAATATTTCTAAAACAATACATTTAAGTCTGCTATATTACACACACACACACACACACATATATATATACATATATACACACTTTATTCCTCCTCTCCCTAAATGATTGATTTTAATTTCATTCAGAATACACAAATATAATTTGATCACAACTAATACACAAATATAATTTGATCACAACTAACAAGAAATAAAAATCTTTGATAGTGCATAACTGTTGAAGGCATTACAAGGAATTTTCAGAAAATTTACCGACATTATATCAATAATTCTAACAAAATGGCTTCAGAATACTCATTTTAAAGTTATACAATTACACATTATTAGAATAACTTGGAATAATTATAACAGAAACTGACTGTAAGGTTAAAATTTATTATTAACTGCCCCACAATGCAATAACCCCATTAAATGTATTAATTATTTTATATTATTTTATTTACCCATTATTTTTTTAGCAGTGCATATTTGATCAAGTTAATGTTCGAAACTTCTTATTATAGTTTCAAAATGAAAATTACAGAACTTTCTATTCAACATTTATGAAATCAAGAAATAACTGAAACCTGATGGAAATATGAATCAATAAAAATTATACACTAGTGAGTAAACGAAGCAAATATTCAACATATAACAATGAAATTTTTGAAAAGGAATTTTTGTGATCAGTACAATGAAAAAAGCCAAATTAGTAGAAAGAAGGTGATGCACATACAAATATCAGCACAATGATATCAAAGGGTATATGAGGACATGCAAAATACAAGGAGTCAGCATGCACAGTGCAAGACAACTTGAAAAGACGAAAGGAAGGCACATTTCCAGGCATTCTTCTGCAAGTAAAAATGGGACTGCTCGTACAATATGGCTGCAAGAAAACATCTTATTTTTATTTATTCCTCAAATGCCAGCCTGTTGGCCATTAAGTCATTAGGCTGCATGCTTTCCAATATTTTTCCACAAGACAATTAACACTTTACCAACAGATCACCTATTAATCGGCTTTTTATCGCAACGCCTACCGACCGATCGCTTATGAAATTTTTCGCCAATGCCTACCGACCGATCGCCTATGAAATTTTTCGCCAATGCCTACCGACCGATAGCCTATTAATCGCTTTCTTCTCCGGGCTACCCAAAAATAGCCTATTAATTGGTAGTTATGGCAATAAACAATTGCCATTTGCTATATCATCTGCATTTTATTATTAGTATTGAGGTACATTTCTCACTTGCATTAAGTGCATTGCTTCATATACTCCCACATCTTCACACCGTTTTAAAAAAATTTATCATTCACGATGAGCGAAAAAATGGTACTGGAGAGTTTTATTTAAATGATTTATCAGATTGTCCTGCCAGTTATTCAGAACAGGGAGAATCTGTGGCTCAACAGTCGGTTGGACGTGTGTATGCTGTTGAACCGCTAGCGGTCAGTAAAGTGTTAAAATGAGATAATGTGGAGCATTCGTACATGTGAGCAGCAGTCACATCTTATCTAGTTGAACACAAAATACATACAGAAGAGTAAAAAATATTAAAGTGAAATAAAGGGGCACAAAGAGTCATGTCCAGTCAACAACCACATGTGGTTCATCCAGAACAAGAAGAGAATGGGTGCCAAAGGCACTCCCAAGATTTAGAACAGGAAGAGTGAGCAGACATTGTATAAAAGAACCATTTTAATCTCCAGTTTTGAAAAATGAAAGGGAAATTTCTATTTGGTTTCTGAATTAAACTGCAACTTCTGTTTGCAAAAAGTCTGTTTTCTCATTTCTCTCAACACCACAGTGGCAGGGCACCCACTGAAAAGATACTTTATGTTGAATTCTCTCAACTAGAGATCTACACTGCTATAACCCCATTAAATGTATTAATTATTTTATTTTATTTTATTTACCCATTATTTTTTTAGCAGTGCATATTTGATCAAGTTAATGTTCAAAACTTCTTATTATAGTTTCAAAATGAAAATTACAGAACTTTCTATTTCAACATTTATGAAATCAAGAAATAACTGAAACTGATGGAAATATGAAATCAATAAAGAATTATACACTAGTGAGTAAACTGAAGCAACATATTCAACATATAACAATGAAATTTTTGAAAAGGACTTTTTGTGATCAGTACAATGAAAAAGCCAAATTAGTAGAAAGAAGGTGATGCACATACAAATATCAGCACAATGATATCAAAGGGTATATGAGGACATGCAAAATACAAGGAGTCAGCATGCACAGTGCAAGACAACTTAAAAAGACGAAAGGAAGGCACATTTTCAGGCATTCTTCTGCAAGTAAAA